CGCGATTGGCCCCGCGGCGCGAGACGAAGGGTGTACGCGTGGCACCGCGAGAGAGCGCGCGATGACTACGAGAGGCGGGTGCGCGGCGAACTCGAGAGAATCGATCGGCGCGTCGGTCGCGCGGAGAACAGGAGCAGAGCGCGCGAGGACTACGAGAGGCGGGTGCGCGGCGAACTCGAGAGAATCGATCGGCGCGTGGATTTCGGTCGCGCGGAGAACGGGAGCTACTGGGCGAGGCGAGTCGTCGACAGGCTCGAGGGTCGCGCCCATCTGCGCATCGAGATACCCGCGGGTGGCGAGAGCGTCGAGCTGCTGGTGACGGACCCGCGCGTCTACGGCGAGTTCAGGTGTCCCGCCGCCGCGAAACGTCGGATCGACGAGCACAGGCTGCGGTGGGAGCGCGAGTCCGACGACGAAAGTGGCGACGACGCCTTCTGCGACACGTGCGCCGTTCCTCGAGAGGAGTGCGCGTACCGGAGAGGCGAGGAGTGGAAGGACTACCTCGTCACGAACGTGGACCGAACGTGTCGACGGTGCGGCGAGATCTCGTGCAAGTGCCACGCGGAGGAGTGCGACGCGATATAGACGAGGAGACTCGCGGATTCGAGTCGCCGGCCACGGACGCGCGCCTCGAACGACGCGTGCGCGCGCCTCGAACGTGTCGCGAGTATATGCGTTATCAATTATTTGTAATATTCGATATGTATTTTTTACAATAAATATATCGCATCTTTGTGTCTCTCTATTCGATGTATCACATTTTTTTTTACGTATGTCAACCTTCTCGCTCCACACGTGTACACGGCAATTTTTTGCACCGTTCAATATATATTTTATCAGCGTGTACGTATGTCAATTTTTTTATTCACGATTGTAACAACAATCCACTCGTGTTTTTTATATTCCTCTTAGATTTTTCCATTCCTCGTTTTACAACGCCAAAAAAAAACGATTCAAATCAGAGAATCCTCGCGTGAATCGCGTGAATCGCGCGAACCGCTTCAACCGACCCCTTTCGCGCGCGGTAACCTCTCCGCGAGATACGCGTCCTCCGCGACGCGACCCACCCCACGGCGACGGATCTTCCGCGACGGTCGAGCGGACCACCTTCGCGAACACCTCGGTCGATTCGGCGGCCCGTCCGTTCGCCCGAATCACTCCGAGACGTACGCCGAGACGTTCTCTCTCTCTCGGCGATCGCGCGCGTGTCGACGCTGGTATACCCTCGAGGAAAAAAAGGAAGGAACGAACGGCAGAGAGTCACCGAGATCGCGCGGCGGGCCCGCTCCCCGTCGGCGCTCGCGTACCTTCGAGGAGCGAACGAACGGCGCGGGGATCGCGGAACCACCGAGCTCGCGCGGCGGCGCGCGTCGCCGTACTTCCGTACGAACCACCGCGCGCACCGGCGAGCGGGAGCGAGTCGGCGC